GTGAACAAACATTCACATTATAGGGGCCCCAGAAGAAGAAAAGAGAGGAAGGGGCAAAAAAAACTTATTTGAAGAAATAATTGCTGAGAAACTCCCTAACCTGGAAAAGAAACACATATCCAAGTTAAGGAAGCAAGAGAGCCCCAATTAAGACGAACCCAAGGAGTTCCACACAATGACACAATAATTAAAATGCCAGAGATTAAAGATAAAGAAAGAATTTTTAAAGTAGCAAGAGAGAAGCTACTAGTTACATACCAGGGGAAACCCCATAAGACTATCAGCTGATTTTTCAGTAGAAACTTTGCAGGCCAGAGGGGAGTGACATGATAGAGTCAAAGTGTTGAAGAGGAAAAAAAAAAAAAAAAACAACACCCTACAACCAAGAATACTCTACCCAGCAAGATTACCATTCAGAAGGGAAGGAGAGATAAGGAGTTTCCCGGACAAACAAGTTTTATAAGTTCATCAGCACCAGGGGCACCTAGTTTAAGTATCTGACTCTTGGTTTCAGCTTAGATCGTGATCTCAGGGTCACGAGATTGAGCCTGTGTGAGGCTCTGTGCTTAGCACAGAGTCTGCTTAAGATTTCTCTCCCTCTCCTTCTGCATCAGCCACCACACATGTGTATGTGCTCTCTATATAAAATAAATAAATAAATAAATAATCAATCTTTTTTAAAAAGTTCATCATCAATAAACTGGCCTTGTGAGAAGTGTTAAAGGGACTTCTTTACATGGAAAAGAAAAGACCATAATTAGAGGTGAGAAGATTCTGGAAGGAAAAAATTTCATGAGTAAAACCAAACATACAGTAAAGGTAGAGGACAATTACTTACAAAGCTAGTATGAAGGTTAAAAGATAAAAGTAGTAAAATCAATTACATGTAAAGAATTGGCACTGGGTGTCAGTGCCAAGTGTCATATGCAACAACGAATCATGGAACACTACATCAAAAACTAATGACATACTGTATGGTTACTAACATAACATAATTTTAAAAAGAATTAGTTATGGGGGCTCACACAGTAATTAGATGTAAAACATGGTGATATATACATAAAATGTGGAGAAGGAAATAAAAAGGAAGTTCTTTTAGAATGTGTCCAAACTTAAGTGGTCATCAACTTAATATAGACTACTATATATTTAGGATGCTATATATGAACCTCAGGAAAACCATAAACCAAAAACCTGTAATAGATACACAAAAAATAAAGAGAAAGAAAGCCAATCACAACATTAAAGAAAGTCATCTATTACAGGAAAAGAGAACAAAAGAAGAAGAAAGGACCAGAGAAAGATAATAAAACAACCAGAAAACAATAAACAAAATGGCAATAAGTACATCTAGATCAACAATTACTTTAAGTGTAAATCATCTAAATGCTCCAATCAAAAGACATATGGTAGAAGAATGGACTAAAAAAGACAAGATCAAACATAAATAAATAAATAAATAAATAAATAAATAAAAGACAAGACCCACCCCCCATATGCTGCTTCCAAGAGACTTACCTCAGACCGAAAGAAACATACAGACTGAGAGTGGAAGAATGGAAAAAGATATTCCATGCAAATGGAAGCAAAAAGAAAAAAAGGGGGGCCAGGTAGCAATACTTATGTCAGACAAAATAGACTTTAAAAAAAGATTGTAACAAGAGACAGAGAGGGCATTACCTAATGATAAAGGGAGCAGTTCAATAAGAGGATATAACACTGTTGATGGAAACGTAAATTGGTGCAGAAACAGCATGGACGGTTCCTCACAAATTAAAAATAGAGGGGCACCATGGGGGCTCAGTCAGTTGAGCATCTGACTCTTGATTTCAGTTCAGGTCATGATCTCAGGGTCCCTGGATTAAGCCCCACATTTGGCTCCATGTTCAGCAGGAAGTCTGCTTGAGGATTTCCCTCCCTCTTCCTCTGCCCCCACCTCTCCCTGGCTCACACACATGTTCACGCTTTCCCTAAAATAAATAAATAAATCTTTAAAAATTTTAAAAATAGAAATATCATGTGATCCAGTAATTCCACTACTAAACATTTACCCAAAGAAAGCCCCTGTGTTTATTGCAACATTATTGCAATAGCCATGATATGGAAGTGATGTAATGTCCACTGATAGATGAATGGATAAAGAAGGTGTGGTATGTGCATAATTCATATGTATGTATATGACATATATATTAATGGAATATTACTCAGCCATAAAAATAGAATGAGATTTTGCTATTTGTGGCAATCTGGATGGACCTAGAGGATATTATGGTAAATGAAATAAGTCAGACAAAGACAAATACCATGCATTTTCACTTATGTTTGGAATCTAAAAAACAAAACAAAAAGGAGAAACAGATCAATAAATATAGAAAATAAACCAGTGGTTGTCAGAGAGGTGGGAGGTGAAGAGATGGGCAAAATTGATGAAGTGGAGTGGGAGGTATAGGCTTCCAGTTATGGGATGAATAAGTCATGAAGTAGAGAAGTACAGCATGGAGATTATAGCCAATGGTGGGATGCTAGCACTGTATGGGGCAACAGCTACACTTGTGGGCATAGTATAATGTAGAGTTGTTGACTCACTATGCCGTATACCTGAAACCAATGCAATGTTGTCTGTCAGCTATTCCTCACTAGAAGAAAGAAAACGCAAGCACTGATAAATTATTGACTACTACATCTGAAACTAACGATGTACTGCATGTGGGCTAATTGAATTTAAATTTAAAAAAGAAAAAAAAGCAATCCTAAAATTCATATGGAAACACAGAAGACCCTTAACAACCAAAGAACTTATGAACAGAAACAAAACCAGAGGCAATCACATGTTTTGATGTCAAAATACATTACAAAGCTACAGTATGGTACTAGTATAAAAACAAACATATAGCCCAATGGAACAGAATAGCATTAGACTAAGCAAACACGGTCCCTTGATCTCAGACAGTGGTGCCAAGAATTCACACTGGGGACAGAATAGTGTTTTCCATGAATGGTGTTGTGGAAAACAGATACTGACATGCAAAAGATTGAAACCGGAAACATCTTACATTGTATACAAAAATCAACTCACAAAGGGTTAAAGACTAAGATGTAAGATCTGAAACAAAGAAGCAGAGAACAGAATAGTATTTTCCAGATGCTGGGGGTGTGGAAAACCGGGAAATACTTGTCAAAGGGTACAAAGTTTCACTGATGTGAGATCAGTTCTAAGGATCCACTGTATAGCATAGTGTCTCTAGTTACAGTGCTATACTATATATTGAGAATTTGCTATTAGTAGGTCTTGTATTGAGTGTTATCACAAAAATAATGAATAAAAAGGGCAGGAGAAAGTTTCAGGCGATGATGGATATGTTTATTGCATGGGTTGTGGTGCCGACGTTTGGATGTGTACTTATCAGATTCATCAACTTGTATATATTAAATACGTACAGCTCTTTGTATGTTAGTCATACCTCCATAAAGCTGGTTTTTTTTAAAAAAGATTTTATTTAAATTCAAGTTAGTTAACATATCATATTATTAGTTTCAGGGGTAGAATCTCGCTATTCATCACGCGCATAAAGTGGTTTTAAGAAAAATCCTTCAGATGTGCCATTGAACATGTCTTCAAACATGTTTTATTGCTCCTCTTTGACTGTCAAGACCCTAATCCTCTCCTTTTTCAATTAAACAGGGGAAGATGATGGTTCCTTGTCTCTATGAGAATCCTTTCCATCCCCCTACCATTGCAAACAGAAAGGTTAAAGTTAAGCCCCAAAGAATTATAGACAGGATCTTGATACATTTGCACACATATGTTCACTGCAGCACTATTCACAATAGCCAAACCAAGGAAACCAACTGAATGTCCACCAGTGGATAAATGGGTAAAGAAAATGTGACGCATACATAAAAACAGAATTTGATTCACTCATAAACAGAGGAAGTCCTGCTAGATGCTACAACAGGTGAATCTCAAGGAAGTTTTGTTAAATGAAATAAGGCAGTCCCAGAAGGAAAAATACTGCACAATTCCACGTATATGAAGTATATAAAATATTAAAATAAATAAAACAATAAATAGAATGGTGGTTACCAGGGACCAGGGAGAAGGAACATGGGAGATTGCTATTCAATGGGTATAGAGTTTTAGTCATGCAAGACAAAAAAGTTTGAGAGATCATTGTATTTACAATTAACAACACTGTTATCATACAGTTAAAAGTTTAAGAAGCCAGATCTCATAATATGTGTTAATTTTAAGATGTCCTGATTTTTCTCTTATTAATACTAAGCTAATAAATACTAATACTAATAAAAATGGAATTTCGTCCCATACTGCAATTTAGGATCAAGCACCATGACTAGCACATTATAATTTTTGATAGATAATGTACATGTTCATGATATGATAAATGGTTTACTTAATGATCCACAACAAACACTGTCATCCAGGCCCAGGGTTGGCAGGAGAGACTTCTTTGGAACTTGTCATGCTCTTGGAACTTGTAATAAATAGAATGTAAACTCCACAAAGCAGAGGTGTGGACTATTGTGACCAATGCCGTGTTTCCTGGAGAGAACTGAGGGGCCCAGGGAGGCACGGGGTAGCTACCATGAGTGAAAGAGTGTATGACCAAGTTGCCATGCTCTATTTTGCGTGGTCACTAAGCCTCCCTTCTACTGGTCTTACTATCCTCAAAAAAGGCCATCAGAATATGAATGGAAAGAAATGGTTTCATTTGTGTTACTTTCTTTAACAAATACACAATCTTTATGATCATAAACACTAAGAGCTGTCTGCTCTTGTTGAGTAAAAATATCTGTGTTCAGTTCCCAGCAACGGGATATTCTCTTTATATCAATTCAGACAACGTGGATGGCCACTGAGAACCAGGACAATGAGGTAAGAGGACCTGAAGCCAGAACTGTGTCCCCACCTTTTATTCACCTTATAGACACCAAGGTCACAGGTTTCCTATACCCCATAACCCACTCCTCTTCCTATTCACCTCCACGGTGAGGGCTTCTCCAGCATTCTTCCTTCCGTTCCTGTGTGCAGCTTTTCTCAGTGCCTTTAAGCCCTCCTCGAATTTGTTGGTGATAACCAGCCACCGAGCAGACTCTACAAGCCACCTGATCAAAGAAGACAGAGGTGCAGCCAAGTCGCTCATGTGTCCATATGCTTTGTCCTGAAATGCCTCTCCTTTCCCATCTAATATCTACCTCTTGTTCTGTTAAACCAGGAAACACAAACTTATGTTCTCCTTTACCATAACTAGAAAACTGGGAGGATGACCTCTCCAGCAGTACTTTTTCACTACTGGCAATATAAAGCAGGAGTCATATTGCCCCCTCACTCTTATTCTGGGGAATATTTCCAGGTTTGGCAAATGAAAATAGTGTGTCTAGTTAAATCTGAATTTAGATAAACAGTGACTATGAGTAATTCTTGAGTATAACCATCTCCCATGCGATGTTTTGGACCTACTCATCCTGCAAAGTATTTGTTGTTTATTTGAAATTTTACTTGAATAAGACACCCTATATTCTATCATGCTGAGAAATAAAAATACAGAACTCTCAGATAAAGAGAAATTTCACGGGGTACCTGGGTGGCTCAGTGGGTTAAAGCCTCTACCTTCGGCTCAGGTCATGATCCCAGGGTTCTGGGATGGAGCCCCATATCGGGCTCTCTGCTCAGCAGGGAGCCTGCTTCCTTCCTCTCTCTCTCTGCCTGCCTCTCTGCCTATTTGTGACCTCTCTCTGTCAAATAAATAAATAAAATATTTTAAAAAAGAGAGAGAGGGAGAAATTTCACATAAACTGTGAATAATTTTAATGTAGCTATGCTCCATGCAATATTTGGAATATTATACAAAAAGATTTTGTTGTTTACCTGAAATTCAAACTTAACTGAGTGTCCTTGAAATTATCTGGCAACTCTACCCATTCAGTTTCTTGAAGTATGCATAGGAACCTTACTAAGAGAGCATGTGCTCGAGTTCTTAACTAAGAACCAAACAGAATTCTTAGGACCTGATTCCATGTATCTTGCATCCCAGGATCCTCTAAGCCAAAGGGAAAAATAAAGCCTTTACCTTGAGAAAAGAAAAGAGACAAATAATGGTACAGAGACCACCAGCTGAAGGGTGTACCAGTCTCGAATGGCAAAAGCCAGTCCTCCTAGGATCATCTGTCCTACGCAAGGCGTGCAGACTGCCACAGTTATTCCCAAGGCTTGGAATCGGGGCACTGTCCATTCTACAACTGACAGAAAACACAAACAGGATTTTGAATTCCAAGATGGAATCTCAAAGTCAAAGTCCAGGCTTGGAAAATGTCAAAGACGCCACGTGTTTACTTACGCAGCATAATATTATTTGTCATGATGCTCATGGTAGAGCAGCCAGCCAGGAAGCGTAGCACACAATAAATGACAAAGGTGGGCGCAAAGGCTGCGCAGGTGTCAGCAACGGCCAGCTGGAGGAAACACCACTTGAGAATTAGCTTCCTCCCAAACCTGAGGAACGGGAACAGGTTAGATGGGGGAATAAGAGCAACCTGTGGGGAAAATTAACAAAAAGAAGGCACACTTTGAAATTTAGTGCATGTTATGATAAATGAAACTTTGCCCTTGGAACTTGAAAAAATCAAGAGCTAGTCATCAGGAGATCATCCCAGAAGTAACCCTCCTGTTTGTAAATAGATACTGAGTGTAACAAAGTTTCTTCCCCAGTCTGTTACCAGAACTTTGAGACACACTGAAGCCATATGAGACTGATTGCAATCCTGGAAATTTTAACACATCACAAAGGTCCCTTGTACTAACTGAGAGAGATGACACACTAGACTCTGTGGAGTGTCTAGAACATAAGGGAGCTGCCATGGACTGAGTTGCATCCCCTGCCTCCACCCCAGTTCATATATTGAAGACCTAATACCCAGTGAAAAGGTATTTGGGGATGTGCTTTGTGGTAGCTAATTAGGTTTCTATGAGGTCATGAGAGGGAGATTCTTATGATGGAGTTAGTGCCCTTATAAGAAGAGAGATTGCTGTCCTCTTTCTGCCATGTGAGGCTATAGCAAGAAGGCAGCTGTCGTGAAGTCAGGAAGACAGCTCTCACCAGGAACCAAATCTCTCTGCACCTAGATCTTGGACTTCACAGCTTCTGGAATTTGAGAAAATAAATTTATGTTGTCTAAGCCCCCTGGTCTCTGGTGTTTTACTATGGTAGCTTGAGCTCACTAAGACAAGATCTAAATCTATACTTGGGACTCTGGGACCATGCAGGTCATGAACACACTATACGAAAGGAACATCCAGGAAACAATACAGTAAACTTGCTGATGGGTTGCGTTAGAGCCCATCTCTGCTCAGTCTGGCTTTATAGGCCTAGAACATGTTTCTCTAAAGTAAGAAGGGGGCCACAACTCAGAGAACTTAGTCCAGAGTGAATTGTCAGAGGAAAAGATTAGGTAAGATGAGGGTAAAGAAACAGAGAAGAAGAAAGTATTTTTATTTTATTTATTTTTTAAAAGATTTTATTTATTTATTTGAGAGAGAGAGAGAGCACAAGCGGGAGAGTGGCAGGCAGAGAGAGAGGGAGAAGCAGACTCCCCGCTGAGCAGAGAGCCTGATGTGGGGCTTGATCCCAAGACTCCGGGATCATGACCTGAGCCAAAGGCAGACATTTAACCAACTGAGCCACCCCAAGAAGGTATTTTTAAAAAGGAAGGAGAATTCAGTGTTTCCGTTTTCTGGGAGAGAGGACCTTTCTCTGGACAATGTGGATGAGACACCTGTGCTGGTTCTGTATGACCGGGAATGGACAACCAGTGGGATTGCACAAAAACCCTGAAATCCTTGCTATGCTTGCAGAATATTTCCATTATAACATAGTGTTAAATCTTTTATATTCTGAGTATTTATATTACATACACTCGCATTTCCATTTGAAATGGAATAAAATCTAGGTAAAGAAATGTTATGGTTAATGAAACGATGTAATGACAACTATTGGAAAGTCTGGTCAGTCAAAATGAAAAGCAGCTGTATTAAAGATATATCATGTAGTGATATCTAGGGGCGCCTGGGTGGCTCAGTTGATTAAGTGTCTGCTTTCTGCTCAGGTCACGATCCCAGGATCCTGGGATCAAGCCCCATGTCCAGCTCCTTGCTCAGGAGGGAGTCTGCTTCTCCCTCTTCCCCTGCTCGTGCGCACTCTCTCTCTCAAATAAATAAACAAAATAAAAAATCTTTAAAATACAGTGATATTTAGAGCAGCAGGCATTTGGTAACAGTCTGGTTGTCCATCACCAAAAAATGCATGAGGAACGTCATCGTGGATCTTCACTGTAGAGCACCATGCACCAATTAGAAGAATGAACTAGAAGTATACATAGGAATATGCATGTAGCTCAAAAAACATAGCAATGGGTACAAAAGAGAAAGTATAAGATAATAACACATTTACAGGGGTTCCCGGGTGGCTCAGTGGGTTAAGCCTCTGTCTCCAGCTCAGGTCATGATCTCAGGGTCCTGGGATTGAGTCCCGCATCAGGCTCTCTGCTCAACAGGGCCCACCCCTCTGCCTCTCTGCCCACTTGTGATCTCTCTCTCTGTCAAATAAATACATAAAATCTTTTAAAAAACACATTTACATACCTCTGTGAATTAAAATATATGTAAACCAATGTCATTTATTTTGAAAAAAGCACATATGAATTTAAAGAAATATAGCTAATGCATTATAATGACCCCTGTTGGGAAGAAGGAAATGGGATTGGGACATAAGGAAAAAAATGAAACACATATATACAAACATGAAAGGAATTCATGGCCAAACTAATGAGGACACTGTCTCATGAAATGAGTATAATTCAACTGTCTGTGGTTGATAGTCAAAGGAAGAACAATTTGTGCCATGCAAAATAGAAAGATGATTGTTTCATTAATTATTGATTGTGCAATTTGGTTGTATGTTCACCATTTTTTTCCCAGATGCTGAGGAAGATGACTCTTCCTGGCTTTCTATTTAAGTTAGAGTCACAGGTCTGCATTCTGACCATGGATTGTGGAGAGAAGTGACCAAGGCCACTTCCAGGCCTGTTCATACAAGGTCCACTTGGGTCCTGCTCATTCTCTTTCATAGCATGGCTGGAAACAAAAAAGGTGCAGATGAAAAAGTCACACAATGGAAGACACTGGTTCCCTGAGCCACTGCTCAGAGGATGGGGGGGGGGGCATATGACCCATACCACACTGTGAGGACAGTGAGAATCATGATTTTATTAAAATCCCAATTTTGGTTCTAGGGTTCTTACTGTAACTAGCTACCTTGGCTAACACAGTAATGTTAGAATAATTGTGTTTGATGATGTAACTAGAGAAGTTTTGTATGTGTATATCGTTTTTGGTATAGTTTTCTCAACTTTATTTGAAAAAATATTTTATTTGAGGAGTGCCAGAGTGACTCAGTCAGTTAAATGTCCCACTCTTGGTTTTGGCTCAGGTCATGATCTCAGAGTCAAGAGATTGAGCCCCAAGTCAAGCTCTACACTGGGTGTGGAGTTTGCTTAGGATTCTTTTTCTCCCTCTTCCTCTGCCCCTCCCCCCAAGACTCTGTCTAAAATTTTTTTTAATTGGACAAGAAAACATGATGTAGAACTGTAAACATATGCATAAAAAGAGGTTACAAAATTACGTATACATTTTTACCAATTTTATTTAAAACATATATATCTGATGTATGTGGCTCCCACTTGAGTGGACTTGTTCTTAGCTCTTTATTTTGAAAATGGTCAGATATGAAAGTTTAAATGAATATTACAATGAACACTGCTGTAAATCTCAAGCGGATTCACCACTAGAGAGCATTTTGCTATATTTGCTGTATTTCTTTGCCTTTGTGAATACGTACACACACACACACACACACACACACATTCTTTTCTGTTGAACCATCTGAATGGCAGTTACAAACCACGTGACCCATCACTCCTAGTTTTTTTTAGCATGCATGTATTAAAAAACACAAGTAGTTTCTAAGGATGCCTGGCTGGCTCAGTTGGTTAAGTGTCCGACTTGATTTTGGCTCAGTTCATGATCTCAGGTTCTTAAGATCAAGCCTCTTGGCGGGCTCCCTACTCAGCAGGAAGTCGGCCTGAGATTCTCTCTGTCTCTCTCTCCCTCTGCCCCTCCCCTGCTACTTATTTCTCTCAAATAAATAAAACTTTAGAATCTCCTTGGTTGGCCATATATTCCCCTTTAATGGGACAGTCATGGGAAGATGGCGGCTTGGGTATTTATTAGATGAGTGTAATCTTGGCCAGGGGTTATATTTGGGACAGACTGTTTTCAAGCAAGTCCATACTCAGCACTGTTTTCCTCTACTTGAAATCTCCTGCTGCATGACTAATAGGCACTTCCAATTTATTACACCCCAAACAGAAGTCTTAACTTTCTACTCTTATATGATTCATTTCCTATTTTCCTTCATCTCAATAAATGATATCAGCATGTATCCATTTGCTCTGGTTGAAGATACAGATACAATCCTTGATCTTCTCTTTGCCACACCAAAGCCTCCTTCTTAAAAACCAGAAACCATCAGGAAACTGTTGCATCTACCTACCAAGTATGTTCCAAAGAGAGCTACTTGTTACCATTTCAAGACACCTTCCTAATTGAAACTCCCGTCATCTTTCCTAAGGATTATTTTGATAGCCTCTTAAATGCTTTCCCTACCACCACTCTGGCTCTCCCACTTAATTATCAATGGAGCATCAAGAATGATATTTTAAAAATATTCTATCATAATAATCCTCTTAAAAGGCTCTGATGGGTACATTTCAGGTTATAGGAATAAGGTCTTAAACCCTACTGCTTGTCTTTCACTCCTTCAGAAAAGACACATGTACAGAGCACAAAAAGCAACTACCTGAGCTTAGTTGAGAGTGAACAGAAGCAGGTAGATTGTGGTGGGGAGTGTTTGCTCTTGTCGAAGAGGGCAGATGGAGACCAATACAAGGAAGATCCTATTTCCAGAGCTATTAGCCTGGAATAAGGGGCAATCCACACAGTGAGAGAAGTGAATGGCATGCATTTTGTGATCTGGGGAACCAGGTCACAGAAGGTGGGAAACGGAACATCAAAGGGAGTGAGGGTCCCAGCAAGGGAAAGTGGCAAAGAGAGGATCCTTCAATTGTGTCTACCACACATCCCCTAAATAGCCCCTAGAGTAAGTACATGCAGAATAAGCTCAGAGCAGGTCAACTACAGACAAAGATCTGAACTGAGGTTGGAACTTCTGTATAAGAAATAGATTTTAGTGGTGCCTGGGTGGCTCAGTTGGTTAAGTCTCTACCTTTGGCTCAGGTCATGATCTCAGTGTCCTGGGATAATGCCCCATGTTGGGATCTCTGCTCAGCAAGAGTCTGCTTCTCTCCCCCAACTCTTTTTCTCTCAAATAAATAAATAAAATCTTTTTTTTAAAAAAAGGAAAAACCTTAAAAAAAAAA